CCCTATCATGGGGTTTTCTTGGCAAGATTTCTTCAGAGGAAGTTTGCCTTTGCCTTTACCTTTCCCTGAGGCTGAGAGCATGTGACTTGCCCAGGATCACGCAGTGGGTATCCTGCCCAAGCCAGGAATTGAACCCTGGTCTCCAGAGTCAGTCCAACACTCAGACCACTATGCCACACTAGCTACCTGTATTTTATTTTAAACCTAGGCTGTAAAAGCTATCTCGGGTCTCATGTTAGAAAGAAAGCAGGATATAAATGTAATGAATGATAGCTCATTTACTTGTATTAACTTTTTTTGTTATTAGGCTTATAGTTGTGGTTATTGTAGTTGTGGGCCTTAAAGTCATTTCCAACTTATGGTGACCTTAAGGCCAAGCTATCATGGGGTTTTCTTGGCAAGAGTTGCTCAGAGGAGGTTTAACATTGAGGCTGAGAGCATGTGACTTGACCAAGGTCACCCAGTGGTTTTGATGGCTAAGCTGGGAATTGAAACCTGGTTTTGAGAGTCATAGTCCAATACGTAAACCACTACGCCACTCTATTTTAGATCTATGCTGTAAGCCATCTTGGATCCAAGGACAGATTCCCTCTACCTAGAATGTAGTTTGGATTGGAAGTCATGTGAGTCCAGATACATGTTGTTAACTGCCTTCAAGTCAATCTCAATTCATGGCAACCATGTAGATGAGAGATCTCCAAGACTCCCTGTCCTCCACTGCTCTGCTTAGTTCCTGTAAATTCATACCAGTGACCTCCCTAACAGAGTCCATCCATCCATCTGTCAGGGATGCTTTGATTGGGAGTTCCTGCATGGCAGGGGGGTTGGACTGGATGGCCCTTGTGGTCTCTTCCAACTCTATGATTCTATGATTCTATGATTCTATCTAGCATGCGGCCTTCCTCTCTTTCTACCACCCTCAACCTTTCCTAGCATTATTGTCTTTTCCAATGAGTCGTGCCTTCTCATAATGTGGCCAAAGTACGACAACCTCCAGGTACTGTTGCACTAAAACTCCCCATCATTGGCTATACTAGCCAGGGCTACTGGGACTTGCAATCCAACAACATTTGGAGGGCCACAGTTCCCACTCTGATCGAGGGGACTGCCAGGAGTAACCCTGCCCGATCAAGGCAGCAATTCCTTAAATATTCCTCCTTTCGCTTCACTTGGTGCCCCACAAGTTGTCCTCCACTTTCCCCTAAGAAGCCCTCAAGTGTGGTAGAAGGTCTTATCCTATTGCTAATGTTGAATTATGGTCCAGTGCTCCCAGTTTTCAAAACAGCAAAAAGGGAAAAACAAAATTAATGACATGTAGGCTTTACAGTCAGGAAACAGGTATTAGAATCATAGAATCATAG